CGTATGGATCTTAGTATAATGTCATTAAGCTGAAGCATTAACAATATAACAATCCCGATAATTTATCATGACTAGTCCCACGAGAGGTGAGTACATATCCATTCCAAACTATATTACAACAAAGTGATATAATCTACATGGACAAAATATTTATTCTACTCAAAAGATATTATCCATTTCTTTTCTCCAATTAACAGACATGGAACAATATCACAAAAATTCATAAACACATAAAAGCGAAAAGCAATTTCGCTATATGAGATATCATTCAACCATTAATCAATACTATGAACTCTAATCAATGCTTAAAACCAAGTGTTTTGATTTCTTATTATTTCATGAAACTCAAGTAGAATGATTTTGGGGCAAAATCAATTATACCCTTAAGTTATACTTTACTACACAAAAAAAAAAAACATAGATTGACAGAAAAGAAACCTTCATTGAAGATTGAATTATTGGAGGTGAAGAAATTTGACTGGATCAACTTCTCCAAGTTGGCTCATATGAACTCGGCAGCAATGGTGCAGAACGATCTCCACCAGAGGAGAAGAGTCATAACAGAGGGGTAAGACAGAGGCCAAAATCAGGGACCTAAAGCTTATGACTAGGCAGCGTTCGATATGCAGGGAAAAAGGGGATTTCGAGCTTCCTACTCCAAGATTCAAAAAGTATAAAACGAACCAGAAGCTAGGACGAAATCGATAGAGAGAAGTAGAGGTTGTGATGGAGGAAAAGAAAATATAACGACACATCCATAAAGAGTGAGAAGGTAGGTCTGATACCAATTGATATAATTAAATGTTTTCAATAATCTCTTCTCGACTTTCATAGCATGCATCCATCAATATCAAAGTAAATCATATCTCCAATGGCTTGTGGTTGAGCTTCCATTTCCTTTCTTTAACCTGTAAAATGAAGAAATCTTGTATGAAGATAATTACACTCTACCCCTTTCAACCCTAAGTACTGATCTTCTCTCTTTTAAAACAAGAGGCAAAGGGTTTTTCTATAGGGTACAATACATAAATCAGGTTTTTTAAGTATCACCATTTCAAAATTAAGGATATATGTTTTAAATTTCAAAAATAAGGTTTTTATTAAAATTT